AATAAATAAGAATAATTTTTAATGAAGTTTTTAATGAAATCCTTTAAGAAGATTTTTATGCATTTATAAGAAATTTGGGAGTATACATTTGTATAAAAGCACAAAATATGAAAAAATGTAATATACAGTTAAAATAAATAAATAAATTTATATAATGCTTGATACGTAAAACAATGAATTAATATAAAAATCTGCAGTTTAATTATCACCTTTCTTTACAGCCTATGCATTCTTTGCAACAGTATTGGAAATTATTTGATGTTATTTAACAATATCACAGCTTTTTGGACGTTTATTACTAGACAGCGAATGTTTATATAAAAAGTTTTCTCATTAAAAGTTCCTACATATGTTTTGCATACATGCATATTTGTAACATTAGAATAATACTGAAATTTTCATAATTTCAATATTTATTGCGACACTTCTTTCAGATCAATCATAAATATCAAACTATATTACAAAGAAATAGTAATTTCATCTAAAATTAGTGACATTTTAAAAGAACCTCAGGAAATACCAACACATTATAAATTATAGTGTAATTATAACTTCAGGTGACATAGACAACAAGAGAAAATTTTACAATCGATAATTTAGAAAAATTATAACAGTGTAGATTAAACTACAAGAAACAAATTTTATTATACATATTCGGTATTGGCTTTGTATATACTTTGCGTGCATTTTGCATACCTTGATATGAATATTCGCTATCAATTCATTATATTGTCAAAGTGATGGCCTTTTATATTGAATTAGTTTAGAAAAAGAAGGAAGTCTGCAAGACTTAGATCAGATGGATAGTAGAACAACTAGAAGAATAATAATAATTTTTGGAGAGAAATTCGATAATAGATACGAAACATGACAAGAACCATTGCCGCGGTGAAGCATTTACTTGTATCCCATCGTCGTAACACATCAGTATTGTTAAAAATTATTGTAAATCAACATTTATTGAAATTTGAAAATTCGCGGTTGATTGGCAATATTCTTGCCAATTATTAAACTATGGAACATAATACGTACGTTGCCAATAAACAGTCTCATTACTTTTCTGTCGCAGCTCGTACGTCGCGAAGATCTCCAACCATACGTACGAGTACGTCGCGAAGATCTCCAACCATACGTACGAGTACATTCACGAGAAACGCTACGCCGTCTTAGCCAGAATATCATTAA